AGATGCCAGTTTAAATGCCAAAGATTAAAGATTAATCAGAGTCCAGGTGTATGCTTTTCCAATCAGTTTTATTTCAGCTTATACATCACAAAACTCAACATACGGATTACTTGTTCCACATATATCCATATCCGGATCTTGCTCAATTATCTCTTAATTAAAGTATAATCAGCCTCATTCTATTTGATCTCAGACATACCAACCACCTGTGCAATTATAAACAATAGCGTGACAGAATCTTTGGAAGAAGGCATGAGAAACTTACGAGGACTGTATGTTTTGAAGAGTATGGGCATCTGGGGCAACAAATGTAATCTTATCGATAAAAGCAAAGTACTGCAGGTAGCTGGGGATCTGGAATAAAGTAGAACGTGCTGGAGAAGGAGTCTTGTGGCAGAATTCCAGCAAAGCCTGATGCAATTTGGAGGAACAGCACTTCATTTTCTGCTCCAACACTTTACAGCGTTCAGGACTCAACATTAGCTTCAACAACTTCAGAGTATGAATGTTATTCTCCACTTTGATTACACAACTCTCTCCCACTCAGTATCATGTCTGCATGCATTTCCCCTCTGCAGAGTTGACCTACTTACTGCTTTTAACACCCACTAATAGCACCTATTCTTCTCTATTTCTTTCATCTACTATCATTAGCATTCCCTTTGCTTTTTGCTCTGGGCACCTTCACCAGGTGCTCCACTCGCTCCTCATCCCAACTTGTCAACAGCATAAAAACCTTCATTTATCATCCTCTTTTGGTTTCAGAGATGAAAATGTTAACTCTGTTTCTCTCTCCACAGAAGCTGCCAGGCATGATGAGTTTCTTCAGCAATTTCTCATTCTCATTCTGTCAGTATTCATGAGGCTGACTATAAGGTACTTGGAGATTTATCTCTAATATTTTTATCTGGGGGCTTGCTATGTAGCAATACTTACTAAATCCTTCATCTAACACTCAAGGACAATATTTCCTTATTATTTTGAAAGGAGTTTCAACAGCAATTACAACATATATCTGAACTTTTTGAAACCTTGGACATAATCACCAACCAATAAACTTGGAAGAAAATGTATAATTCAAAGGAGTAATTGGCAATGCTACATCAGACTCCCATAGTGTGATCTTACATATGTCTATGCAAGTTCTAAGTTACTACACATAACCACAGTCATAGATTTCAACTGACCTCACACTGTAAGTACACATGTAATTCTGTCCACAACCAGACATAATGGTGCATTCAGACTGTGCCATTTGTATGTCAACACTGGAGTTTTCAGTTTGGCATAACTCTGTTGCACAAACTCTTCTTATTTCATTATTGCTTGTACAATTATGTTTATTTATGTTTTCATGAAGGTCCAATTTTTACAGTAATTGCTTTCAAGTGCAATGAGGATGCAAGCTGATAGCCTTGCCATCCTTTAGGAATCAGAGTACTTCCTATATCTGGCATCATCAAGTTTCTAGAGTACAATGTAAGCAGTTTGGCTTCTTCCCAACCCAATCAATCTCTATTCTGTGGCTCATTACACCAGGTCTCATCAAACCAATTTCAGTAAAACCACTATTCAGTTCACCATACTATTTCATATCCTGTAATACTTTTTGGCAGGCTTACCATCTGTCTTCATAAATGTGACTGAAATGATTAGATTTTAGGACTTTTTTCTCCAGTAAAGTTAATCCCAATGTATTCAGAAAAATTGATATTGCATTTATAAAATAGTTTTTGTGTCTTTAGGACATCCCAAAGTGCTTCAAAAGCAATGAATTACTTTTTGGCTGCCAATTTACTCAAAGTCAAACATCAATAAGCTGACGTGAGAAAGGATGTAAAAGAGATTCACAGGAATGGTTCCATGGATGAGGAACTCCAGTTACTTAGATTGGAAAAGTTTGGATTATTTTCATCAGAGCAGTGAAGGCTGAAAGGAGATTTGTAAAGGTATACAAAGTCACGTGGGTACGAGCAGCACAGGTGGAGAAAATAAACAATTCCCATTGGTGGAAGGATCGAGAACAAGAGGGCACAGATTTAAGGTAACTGGCAAAAGAAGCAATGATGTGACGAGAAACTTTTTCACACATAAGTAGTTAGGATCTAGAATGGACTGCCTGAGAGTATGCTGGAGGTAGTTTTCATCACAGAATTCAAGAGGGAATTGATTAACTGTAATGTATAGAGTTGTGGGAAGAAGAGAGAGGAGGGCCACTAGGTGAATTGTTCCTTCAGGAGCCAGCACAGTCATGACTGACTGAATGGCCTCCTTCTGAATTGAAAACATTGTGATTCTATGATGATAACCTCAGTCAGTGGTATTCGTAGACAAAGAACCCAAGAGCTCAGTTGCTTCTCATTGGAATAGTAACATTGGATCTTTCACACAGACCTCATTGGGTACCTAAAGGCTCATCAAAATTAAAGCACTTGTAACAATGTAACAGCCCGTCAGCACTGCACTGAAGTACCGGCACAGATTAGCTGCTCAAATCCTCCAGGTGCAAAACACTTTTCAGTGAAGCTAAACACTCAGCTCATCACTAGTCCATCAAGGCAGACAAAACATACATAAAAGAATTATGTATAGCAATAAAAGCAAGGATAACTGTAAATAACAAAAGCTATCTCTGCCTAACCTGCCTGGCATTTTTCCAAGATTTATGATTATGGTCAGAGCAACTGAAAAATAATGTATCACCTGGCAGCATATGGAAATAGGAGATGGAGTTTCACTGCACTACTGTTCTAACTCCATCTGATGCCTGAGGGTATGCTCATAGCAAGGTTTAATGACTCTCACAACAAACGTAACAGAGTGGCAGTCTGCAGTTGACTAAACAGGTACATGCTATGTTTAAGGTGCCGTTAAAAACTGGAGGTGAAAATGAGTGGTGCTCCCTTGCTGAGACCCATTTTGCACACACAGTCAGTCCCCCTGTGTCACTTTGAAGGCACTTACCTCCCACGAACTGAATGCCTCCAGCCACCCTGCCCACTGTCCTGGAGATGAGCTCGGAAACACAGCAGCCCATGAGCGCAGTGAGCGCCACCAGCAGGAGGAGACCGCATCCCACCCCGGTCACCACCGAGCAGATCTTCCAGGCCAGGCTGGGGATACCCAGGAAAGAGGCGTATCTGCCGCACTGCTCCACCATGACCACCGACTGCAGCTGACCTTCCTGGCGCACCGGGTAGGTGCAGCGGCGGAACACGCCGAAACTGACCGGCTTGTCGAGCTGGGAGCCCAGTAACCAGTAGGGCATGAAGAAGCCGGTGCAGGAGGCTGCAGCACACAGCAGGGACAGCGTAGCCCACAGCATCCCGGCACAAGTTAGACTTGAAGACATCTCCCCCAGCAATTCCACAGATCCCTCTGCAGACTCTCTCCGGCTGTTTCCTCGGTAATAATTATTTCCACTGAACTTCAGCAGAGTTCTGAAGTCGTCTTATTCATGCCGTCTTCCTCCCTTCTGGAAAACCCTGATAGAAATAAGGGGGAGGGGGGTTAAAAACTGTTTATTAAACTGGATATTTTTTCTTTATTTTTTAAACAAAAGTTGCCATTTGAACGTCTGCCGGGATTGTCCAGTTGGAGCGACCCTGCTCTAAAGGAAGCATTGACGGCGTCAAGTGTGTCTGGAATCTGAGCTGGGCAGCCACCTTAAACTGCGGGGAATTATTTAATGAACTCGATCCTTAAACAACTTTTTTTTAAATCAACAAGACGTGAAACGCCACTTCTGAATAATAAACGATCAAACAACAAAACTGCGGTCTTCACGATTGTTTTGGAAAATCCCGTTAAACTCTTTTGTGAACTATATTTTTTAAAAAAAAACTTTAAAAATCTGTAATTGTTTATCCTAATAATTATTCTTTAAAACAAAAGGACTTTTAGTTTGTCAAACTCCTAACAGGGTGGCTGAAAGTGCCATTCTATTTCAGCCAATACATACTTGCATCTTCCGCGCGGATCCTCCCTGTAGTCCGAAAAGGTTGAATTTTGGAAAAGAACTTCCCTCCAGGAGAGAGGGAGACTGGGTTTTTTTTTTGAAGAAGGAAGCCTCACTCCTGCCTTTCTCCCGCAGCCAGTGTTGAACTGCCTCCTGCACACACACAGAGTCAATCCCACAGTGTCTCACTGTACCGCTCTTCCTGACAGCAAATATTCAGCACACATTCCGAGGAGCAGATCGAGGCAGCGTTGGTGGGGCGGGGTGGTGGTTGAATGAATATTCCTGACAGCTCAGCCCCGAAGCTGTCAATCAGACCTCAACTCCCAGAAAACAAATCCAAAAAAAAACACGCCCCCAGCCCCGCCCACCCAATCCCTTCGAAAACGGAGGGAACCTGCGAATTTGTATCTAAATTCGCTTCACATTTTTTGATGTGTATGTTTAGTCACAGGCACGCACCCACCGGAGTGAGAGGTAACAAGGCTGCGAGCCCAAATAGCTAACGTTTCCATCCCTACAATCTCAACGGCGCTGACAAAGGAGGCCGTTCAGTCCGGAGTGGTTGTACTAGCGAATGACTCAGTGGGGGGCAAGTACTGGTGTGTGGTCCATGAAAGACTCGATGAGTTTTGCTTCACCCTTTGTGCAGTGAAGAAATGCTTGACCGTGCATTTATGGTCGGACAAACTTGATGATGCTCTGCTGGTGTTGCCTTAATATAATCTGGCTCTCTCACTGCCGTTGCTTATTTTGCAAGGCATGTGTGGTAACGGACCCTGCACTCCGATGCACTTTGTCTAGACACCCCCTCTTCATTTTAGCTGGGAAGGTCTGGTTAGAGCTGACACCGAACTATCGACTTCCAGAGTAGTTGCACTGTCCTAATAATGCTGCCTAGCATGAGATCTGGGTAAAACCCGAAAGAACTACGGATGCTCTAGATCAGGAACAAAAGCAGAAGTTGCTGGAGGGTCTAGGCCCGAAACGTCAGCCTCTCTGCTCCTATGATGCTGCTTGGCCTGCTGTGTTCATCCAGCCCTGCACCTTGTTGTGCTGGAAAAGCTCAGCAGGTCTGGAAGCACCTGTGAAGAAAAAACGTTTCGGGTCCAGTGACTCAGTTCTGAGGAAGGGTCACCGGAACCGAAACGTTAACTCTGATGAGATCTGGGTATCGAGGTTCAGTCTGACACTGAAGAGGCTGTTAACTTTGAGTCTGCTGCATCTCTGGTTGTACCTCATCTAAAAATGTCTATTGTCTGCAGTTCTACTAAACTCTTTTTGCACACTATTATACAATCATTAAACTGATCTTTGTATTACAGATCTCCAGTACCATAAGATAGGAGCTGAAGCCAGCCATTCCAGTCTGCTGTGCCATTCAAATGCCATGGCTGATCTGATCGTCCACTTTCCTGCCTTTTCCCATGAGCTATGAGATATAAAACTCATACCAGTACAGTTATTCCATCCTGTCTTCTGAATGTCAATATAGGACTGCTGATGTCAGAGTTATACCATCAGAAATATATCATTAACACATACATTCTCATTACACTACAAAGTATATTGTTCAAAAATGCTAAAAGTGCCATTGCTAGCTGGTGCTGAAGGACAGGTTATTCAACTCAACTGCAGTCAGAATGCAAAAAGGTTGACACGGGAGACAGGAAGCCCTGGACCAAATGTTCCCCAAACAGAAGCACTGACATTGTAATCATAAGATGCAAGAGCAGCAGAAGGCCATCCAGCCCTTTGAGTCTGCTCTGCCATTCAATGAGATAATGGCTGATCTGATAATCCTTAACTCCAATTTTCTGCTTTTTGCCCATGACCCTTCCTTCCCTTACTGATTACAAGTATGTCCATCTCAGTCTTGAACATACTTTATAACCCAGCCTCAATGTCCTCAACAGTAAATAATTCCACAGACTCACTACCCTCAAAGAAGACATTCCTCTTTATTTCTGTTTTAAATATGTGACCCTTCATTCTGACATTATACCCTCTTGGTCCTGAATTCTTCCACAAGGTGAAACAACCTCTCCACATTTACCCTGTCAACTCCTCTCCGAGTCTTGTGTACTTCAAGAAGGTTGCTTCTCTTCTAAATTCCAATGAGTATGGCCCAACCTAGTCAACCTCTCCTCATAAGCCTGTGCTTCCGTACCTGGTATTAGACTCCTGAACCTTCCCTGGATTGCCTCCAATGCCAGTATATCTTTCCTTAGGTAAGAGGCCCAACTGTTCACAGCATTCCAGCTGCAGCCTTGTATAGTTTTAATTCGACACTCCATTCCCTTTGAAAAAAGGAAAACATTCCATTCTGTCCCATTTCTGAAGAAGGGTCCTGACCCGAAATGTCAGCTTTCCTGCTCCTCTGATGCTGCCTGGCCTGCTGTGTTCCTCCAGCTCCACACTGTGTTATCCCTGACTCCAGCATCGGCAGTTCTTACTATCTCCAAACGTTCCATTTAGAGCAGAATTCTACTTGTAGCAATGCTATTTCCACCGTGCTCCCATGGTATTTGAATGTCTGGCTGCCTCCATGGATAAGTTGATGGCTGCCGTGGGCAGCAATGTATAGCACTCTCAGACTCTCCTGGAAATATGGAATATGTAAAGAGATTGTTCTGCCAATCTCCTTCCAGGAGACATCTGTGGAAATTTCAGGTGTACAATTGTAAGTTTATTTTTGTATGCAAATACTCACAAACAAATCTTTCTCCCAGTTTCCTTAATTTATATTTTAGGTGCATGAATGCTTAATGCAATATTCACAGTAGCAGATCAGAGGAAGAAGATGACAAGCACTGTAAAGGTTTATGAGATAACAGTTAGAATAATTGTATAAACATATGAATTAAGATTAGAACAAGATCATTCAGCCAGTTTGAGCTGATTCTGTGGAGGAGAAAACAGAGTTAACGTTTCGGGTCCAGTGACCCTTCCGGACCCGAAACGTTAACTCTGTTTTCTCCTCCACAGATGCTGCCAGACCTGCTGAGCTTTTCCAGCAACTTTGTTTTTGTTCCTGATTTACAGCATCCGCAGTTCTTTTGGTTTTTATTGAGTTGATTCTGCTGTTTTATAAGATTTTGGCTGATCTAAATGTGGCCTGAACTCCACTTTTTTGCCTACCCACAAAATCCTTTGGATCCCTTGATCGTTAAGAATCAATCTGTCTCCCCTTAAAAATATATTCAATGACTGCCTCCACTGCTTTCTGGGACAGAGAGTCCCAAAGAATCATGATCCTGTGAGAGAAAAAAAAATGTTCTTCATCTCTGCCTTAAATGTGTCTCCCCTTAATCTTAGTTCCTGAGAATTTCTTCCTCAAGGAGAATCATCCTTTCAACTTCTATCCTGTCAAGTCACCTCAAAATCTTATATGTTTCAAAGAGATCACCTCCTATTCTTCTAAACTTCAAAGGATACAGGCCCAGCCTGTAAAACCTTTCCTCATAAGATGGCATACCCCTACCCCACATCTTATAATGCAGGTACATCCTTCCTTAAAGAGATCAAACTATACAGAATACTCTAAAGGGGACCTCAACAACACTCTATACAGTTGTACCAAACATTTCTAATTTTACATTCAAATTTGCAATATTTACAAAATACTATTTGCCATCCTAATCATTTGCTTTATCTGCATATCAATCTTTGTGATTCAGTACCAGGTCCCTCTGTAGCTCAGAGTTTTGCAATTTCTCTCCTTTTAAATAATATGCAGCTTTTCTATTCTTCCTGCCAAAGTCCCCATATTTAACTACATTTGGCAAATTTTCACTTAGCCTACCTATATTCCTTTGCAGACACCTTTTATTTAAAGTTTCTCGTAAGCTGTATGTGTGTGCAGCCATTCTTATGTCCTGCACAGGTAATCAGCATCAGCATCATTCCAGAAGTCACTGCCATGCATAGGCCTTGGTGGCCTATGAAGCCAGGAAGAAAATTTAAGGGGATGTTGCCTATGTCCTCTCCCCAACTTAGTTTTCTGTCTATCTTTGTCTCATAAGAAAATTTAACCACCATAAATTGTAAGAATTAAAGTTCCAGTATTGATTCCTATGGTGTTCCATTCATCATATCTTGCCAAGCCAAAATTGACCCATTTGCGCCTATTCTCTGTTTCCCATAGATCTACCAAATTAACCATCAATGCTAATATGTTATCCCTACACTATGAACATTTTGTTTTACATAGTAACCCACAATGATGCAGCACCTTGTCAAATGCCTTCTGGAAATCCAAGTATAGTATGTCCTCAGGTTTCCTTTTGTCCACACAGTTTGTAAATTCATCAAAGAACTCTAATAAATTAATTAAACATGATTTCCCAAAATGAAGTCAAAGCAGTTGCCCAGTGGGTGCTGCTCATCACTTG